TAGAGAACACAGAAAGGGTATGTTGCCTGACCATCTCTTTCCCACGCAAGACGAGCCAATAATGATTTTGTAGTCTGGAGTGAGGAACTGATGGGCAGGGACTATACTAGGGGTTATAAACTCATAAGCCTGTAGGGGCCATACAGATAAAATTAGTGAGCAAATAAGATTTAGTACCTACTTATTAAATACATTTGAATAGTTTTCATTAGCAACAATAAATGTTATTTCATTTTTTTCTTCAAAACATGACTCTCTTGATATCCCTTTAATTTTCTCACTTTTGATAGAGTTATGACCTTAGAGAAATGTGTCCCAAAGCAACATGGGAAGCATGATAATAAATGGCAATAGCCATTTGTTGCAAATGATACATTTATATAGTAGGGAATGGCTGGAAATTTGAACTTTTCATGAACCATGGTCTTAAATGCTGGCAAAAATTTTAAATTATATTGTGTGGGTTATTGTTAAAATGTAATTAATTTCAGCCTAAATTTTACCACATGTTATCTCTGAAGCAGTTTCTCTTGTGGGATTTTGTTTTTTACATATTGATTTTGAGATTATCGATGATTACTATCTCATCTATTTGACTTTTAGTCCATATCTAAGGTAGGCTTTAGACAACCAAAGTTCAAAAGCTCTGTAAATAATTCCTATGCTCATCTACAGTTGGAAGTGACCCGTATAGGCAGTTGGTTAGGGTGGTTGTGCTCCTACCCACTGAACCTTACCCTTCAAAGAAGCAGTTTTGTTAGCAGCAGCTAATCCATATAGATCTGCAGCAACTTGATTCATGCCTCCTTGGAGGCAAGAATTTGGCTGAGAAGAATAAGGCAGAGGAGAGACCAAGGCAAGTTTTAGATAGAGTAGTATTGAAAGTTTATTAAAAAGTTTTAGAGCAGGAATGAAAGAAAGTAAGGTACATTTGGAAGAGGGCCAAATGGGCAACTTAAGAGATCCAAGTGCATTGTTCAATGCTTGACATGGAGTTTTATACATTGGTATGGTTCTGGGGTTTGTGTCTCTTGTCTGTTGATTTTTCCATGGGGCAGGCTGTCTGCAAACACAGTGGCCTGCCAGCACTTGCGAGGAGCTGTGTGTGCAGTATGTTTACTGAAGTTGTGCATATGCTCATTTCGGTGTTTTTATCTTACCAGTTGAGCGTTCCTAGAGAAAGTTATATACCAGTTAAACCCCACCATTTTGTCTCTTAGTGCATATGCTTGGGCTCACTTGCCCAACTCCTGAGATCTTATTGGGAAGCTGCTGATCACCAGCTGCAGGTGTTTTCTCTCTATTAAGAGACTGCCTTTCACTGCCATTGTCTGTGACCAATTATGGTTTTAAAGAGACAGTTTAAAAACTGCCTGAATATCACCTGGTGGGCCTGGGTGGGTGGCCCTCTCCTGCCCTGCTCCTGTCTGCCTAGCTGCCCACTCTAACAGTTTGCCCTCTAAGAGTGAAAGCAACAACACACCCTTGATAGGGTTCATTTAACTATATGACTGAGGAGATCTGTGGATGTAATCCATGATCACAGGGAGGCAGTTTGTTAAGAATGCTTGAACTTTGACCTTCTTGACCGTCCCATCCCTCCATTGTAGAGCTTTACTTGAGAGTCCCAGGACCAGCCAAGTATAATATCCAATGTAAGACTATGATAGTAAGATGGGGATGATCTTGATATAGATAGAAAAGGCCCTTCTGTACAGTCCAAGATGTGAACAGACTTGACCCTAGACTATATATGATTTTGTAAAACAGAGAAAATTAGCCAGTATCTCCATCTTTGAATAAGGAGCCCTTACATTCTTCCAACACTCTTTGACTTGATCATGTTTACTTAGAAGTCTTCTAATCACTAAGCACATTTTATAGAAACTTTATTATCTGGCAGAAACCAAATAACGCAAGCAATCTAGTCACTGGAAAGCAATCTTTCCTTACTATAGGTGTAATGATTGAAACTGGGGGTATGAATCAGTCCTCTGTGAGCTTGGATAACATAACTCAGACTTCAGAATCCTGATCAACCCCAAACACACTGATAAAATGCAGTTCTCTGGCTTGTAATATTGAAGAACAAACCTTTGACTGCTCTGTAAAGCTCAATTTTGGGAAGGGGGATGGAAGCGCAGTGGCAGCTTATTCATTTATGATAACACTCCTTAGCATATTCTAATTTCAAATCCAAATTGGGAAAAATGACTTTAAAACTGTTTTGATGGAAAGTTTTATCTGTGATCCAAAGTCCTCAGCATTTTTCTTACATTTTTTAAAGATGTGAAAACTGAGTTGAAGAAATCTGTTGAGTTTCCATGGAAATGGTGCCAAATTAATTATTTTTTTCTTCCTTAGGAAAATTCCTTGACTTAGCAATATTGTAACTTCTTGGCAATCCCTTGGCAGTCTTAAACTTAGTGCACTTGAAATGCTGATACTTTCAATGGAAAAGTAGTTGGCTCTCATAATCCCTTTTCCCTCCAGCATATAGAGGAAGAATTAAATAATAATTCCTTTTTACCTTCTTTAAGGAGCTTGTCTAGTCCCTTTAGAAAATCTCGTCTCTGACAAACATTATATAAAAGGCCCTTTTTATTTTTTTTTTCTACAAATAAAGAGATTACCACTGGTGAAATATGTACTGCTTTTCCTAGAACACCACGAAATCCCAGGATATTTAAAGAATAATTTTTAATTAGGTAATAAGCAGTTTTCCTTGCCTAGTATGTTCCATGGACTAAATGATCATACCTGCAATGGCTTAGAGAAATATGTTTGGATGGAATCAGCCTTTTTAGGTACCTAGGTACTTAATTATTTTATTTCAAAATATTCCAAATTATTTCTAATTATCTTCTTCTCATGCTAACTGCTGATTTCCCTGCATCCTCTAGTCATCAGGAAGGCTTTTAAAGAAACACTTGATGAGGATTGATGTTCCCTTAGTCCTTACAAATAAAACAATATTCTATTCCATACTGGTACATTACTAATGTCCAAGAATAAAGGAATCTAAGGAAACTCCTCTAAGATGGCTAATCAAAAACATCATCAATAAGTTGAGTTTAAGTATGTATGGAGAAAAAATATTACAGATGATATTTGATTAAAATGTTAGTATCTGAGTCCCCAACAAATTTTTAAAAATCTAGTAATAATTGACCTTGGTTATACACATTAGGTAAAAAGATATGGACAGATAGTAATCAATAAATATTGCATAATTAGGATCTTGTTTCCCTTTACCACTCTCTCTTCCCGCTTTTCTGTGTGCTGATGGGTACCAATTATCTATGCATACGGTAGAATAATAACTGGGCTCTTCTAGGCTTAACAGATACTAGCAACCCTTCCTTGCATTGCTCTCTGTGGGATGGCCGGAAGGATAAATGACAAGATCAAACATTCCAAGGATCTCTTCATTACACTTGATACTTGTCACTTCCCTTCATCTCCTGTGGCCCTCTTCACATTTTCTCCTTAATTCTAACATAATTTAATTAAAACCACAGTAATTTAATAATTTATAAGAAAAACACTTCAGGGAATTTTTCTCCCAAAAAGCTCAAAGCATCTCTTCTCTTTATTCTTTCCAAAGCTCTGTGAGGTATGTCAGGGAGGCCAGGTAGATATAATCTTAATCTACTTCGTTTAAATCTTTAGTAGCTGTTCTAATCCTAATTGTACAATGATCTCAGATGGAGCTTTGCATTTATTTCTTAAGAGAGCTAAAGGCACAGTGGGAGGATAATAGTAGACTTAAGAAAAGATCTATCTTCCTCCTTAAATATGAAATCACTAAAAAGGGAAAACTGTCAAAGAGTTTTTTGCATATAAATTTGCAAGCAGTATATTCAAGTGTTTCACGAGAGAACAGAAGTTCAGCTTCATCATGTGTTGCATTCAAACACCATGTATTAATTGGAAGAATGATCTAAGTACCACCTTGCTGTTGAGAAAAATGCTGCTTGAAGTGATGGGTGAAGATCACTCATTTGGGAATACACCTTTGTTTGAAAGGTGATTGTTAATGTTCTAGGAGCAGGCCCATTGAGGGTCTGTATTTAGTAGTTCAGTGGTGGTTAGAATTTGGTGCAATCCATTCGCAGCCATCTCCACAATAGGAAAAAGGAGCCTGAGTGGGAGTGGTTAGTAGTTGCTGTGAAATAATTTCCTGGTTTTATTCCAGCATCTCTCTCAACAATTTACTGGCACCAATTTCAAGGAAATCTTAGTTTGGACTGAAGTTATTTAAAAGATGGGCTTGTTTATACACATTCATTATCATGGGCAGTTAATGTTACCCCCACCTCTGTCACCTTTAATGTTTTTCATTTTCGAACATTGAATAAGGCCTTATTATCAGACAAAGTATTATAATAAATAATCTGCTAGAGTCTCTCTTTTCAATAGAAGACAAATATTTCAGGAAAAACTGGAGGGAGAAAATATTCTGTCTGTGGAAAATGTTCTGTGGGTACAATTTCAGCTTTTCTCTGTATAACAAATAATTGTTCAAGAAATGTTAGACCAAATGTGAAGGCAAAAGAACAGTTGAAAAGGATGCAGTCTTTGATTGGCATTTAGTGCAGAGCACAGAAAACTCATGCTAGCTCCTTTGTTTGGAGGAATCAAATCATTTACCACTCCTACCAAGTTAGATTCCAGAGGCTTCCCTTATAGGTCTATGAAAACATGGCCTCTGATGAATCTTGGAGAATTTTTCTTACTTGACCTTCCTAGAATCCTCATGATAATATCAACAACATTACCACAGACATTCTGACAAGGCCATTTCATGCCTTTGTTAATTAAAATAATTTTCTTGCATTAATTGTATTACGGCAAAATTACATGGTGTGAGATTAAGAGTAAAATTTATAAAGCACACAATTACATACTTCTGTCCTTAGAGGCTTTATTCGGTATTCATAAGATTTCTTGATATTTTACTTAGAGATTTCTAAATAGACTGAAGTTAGCGTTAGTACCTTGTTTCTTAGGAAGACCACGGAACTTGTCATCATCAGATTGTCTTCTGGCTGTCTTTTGTTGAAACACTGTAAAAATTACAGAACATATTATTTATTGAACATGTTTCCAAAAAATCCATACTGTAGAAGTCTCCAGGAAACCAGAATGCAATATCTCATTTTCCTGAGTATCAGTTCCTGAATTGTGTTATCTTTGAGTGGGAAGATTATTAAATTTACAGTTTTCTCATTTGTGCAGCTTATCAGTCATTTCAGAAAGCATTTTCATTGAGCAGAGTAGTATAATGTTGATGGAAAGCCTCATTAAATTATTTAAATCAAGATATGATTCCATTTTGATATCAGGTAAGAATAAAAGCTGCATTCTGTTAAAAGCAATAAATGTTAAAATCATATGAAAAATTCCATTTGCACAGAAATTATCCATGCCGACTTTTTGATGATAAGCAAGGATAATGACTGTTTCTTCTTAAATAGATGAAAAGACTGTTGTATTTCATAGATGTAATAATAAAAAATACACTTTATTCTTGCATCATCTATCTAGACCTCAGACCTATTAAAACAGCTTATTCAAATTACTTCATTATCTGAAAAGTGCTTTGTTCTCATTTATTATTTCTCACACAAAATTCTGGGAGACAAGTCAGCATTACTCACCCCATTTTGCAGATGAAAGATAAAATTGATTGCTTAATATTTATCGAGCACCCACAAAGTTCCATATAGCTTCCGGCATTTGTTAATAAAAAGTCCAAACTCTTTACAACTTTACTTTCAAAAATGAACGTCCCAGAGTTACATTTATTTTTTATAGGCAGTGTGAATTACAGGGTTTGGGAACTGGAAACGGCTTTGGAGATTTAGTCCAACCTCATATGTTTATAGATGAGGGAGTTGGAAGTAACTAGCTTGCAAAAAGTCTAAGTAATTTTGCAATGATCTCAGAGCCGTTGTTAGCAGAGATGTGATTTAAGCCCACATGCCTTGAATTTCAGTCTGTTGCTTGGTTCCTTACAGCACTACTGCCTCTTCCCTTCCATAACTATTCCCTTATAAAAGTAAAGAGGGAGACAGAGAGAGAGACTAAAAGGGACCTTAGAACAATTCCAACACAGTTGTATCTCTTGTTCCTTTTAGCATTTTGACAGAATTTCCTGGGGTAATTGAGATGAGGCCTGTGGGAGTGAATGTGTTTTAGCCCGATGGGGCTGGACCACTGACTGGCAGAAGCATCCTGACAGTTACCCTAGATTTCTGTCTTTGGTTTTAGTATTCTTTAAACCAATATAAGACCAAGGTCATATCTGTGATTAATCCTGGAGAATTTTTTTTTTTTAATGAAAACTTCTCCCCCATCAGATCAACAATTAGTTATTAAGCATACACAATTTGCCAGATGCCGTAAAGAGAAACTACTCCGTTTAACTATGCTCTTTTAAACAAAAGAGGTAAAACATGTTTCAAGGTTTAATGTGTTTGAATAAAAGTATACACATAAAATAATATTTTTGGTTGAAAACCAGTTTTCTGCTTCAAGTTAGTACTTGGAAAACATGCTAAATATAAGTAACTGGCAAGTTCTGGGTTCGTTGGCTTACTTACATTTTTCCTAAAATAAAATATATTGAGAAATATATAGTGTATAAATATATGTGAGGATATTAAATATTATAAGAGGTACTTGACTTTTTTTCTATTTGCTAGTTGTAAAAGTCTTTAAAATGCAATGCTTTAAAAATTTTAATAACATGCAATCTCTGTGCTTTTTGCCAATGTTGTTAAGATATAACTAAGAGTTTCAGACTTGAAAACTGGCATCTTTAATATGGGAAATGACCTGTATCCAAAGATCCATTCAGGCAATAAATTCTTCAAATAAAAATTACATTAATTGATAAGTTTTTAAAATTCTGCTGAGGTTTGAAGCTACAAAGTACTTGGAAATGAAATTATTTTTCCAGCTTTTTGGCATTAATTTGTTACAAATCACTTTGGACCCTATATGTTACTGGAATCCTTTTTGCTGATAACAATCCTTTTGGCTGAACATTTGTTATGAAATAACAGTGAATTCTCTCTTTCAGTTACTAGATTAAGAAGTTCCAAGGAGTATGTGTATTTATTGTCAAGTTTCACCAGGGCTTATACTTGGAACAGCTGGGGTCAAGGGCAGAAAATTGGGATGAGACCATAGGGTACTATGAGTCAGGTGATTGTGAAAATGCTGATAATAGGACTTTAAAAGCAGTCATGCAGTAGGTCATGCCCATAGTTAAAGGTCCTCTCTACCTGTTTTACCCCCTGGAATTCTCTTTTAAGTCACCTGCAGCTGCACCCATACCTCCAGGTTCCCTTTCTCCCATCTAAAGATGAGTCTCACTTCCTAACATGAAAACATCTAGCAATTAGCATATTGTCAAACACACCGTTTTCCTATCACTTTGAGTTTGGGAGATATGTTTAAATATAAGGCAACTTGGGAAAAGACCTATTTTATCTTATTTTCTGAAGAAAGCACTAGCCCATCAAAATTATTACTGAAGCGAACACACCTGTCAAGGACACATATTCGATTAGCCTTATGGAAAGAATAAATAGATATAAAATTTCAGAATCTGTTCATCTTTCTATTTTTGCAGTTCCTATTAGTGGAAACATTTAAAATTGCTTCAACTAGCAAAACCTTTGTTCTAAAAAGCTTTATGTACTTTACCATGTTCAGCCACCCTACACCACATTTACAAGAGATAGATATAAAATCCATAACAGAGTGAGAGCTGAGTGTAGGGCTGTGGGTCACTTGGATTTTGTATACAAAAGTACGTTATTTTGTAAAGCAAGAGTTGTGAGTTAGAGAAGAATTTGTTTTAAATGTATTGTAATTAAAAAATTGTATACAGAATGCTAGCCAACTTGGCGTAGAAGATGGGCAGTAGTTTTTTCTTCACACCAACCACATGAGTGACATGGAAAAAGGACTTTTCCGATTTGCTCCCTAACTGCCTTCTGGCCTTTATTTTAATAATAAAATTAGGGCTTAGATGTGATGATATCTACTATTTCACTCAGCTCTAACATTCTAAGATGTTACCAATTCTTCTTTCCCTAGTCACTCCAGGTTCAAAGGTGCTGGGAAAAATTCTTAAGCGGGTATGAATTTAAGTAGAATGCTATGTTTTGAGGAAAATATTATTTACAACCTGGGGGCTTAGACTAACATAAAAACTAGAAAGTTTAAAATCACAGACCAGTGCTAATTTTTTATTATATATCGAGACAATCCTTTCCCTATGTGTTTGAATTCTTAAATAATTTATCTCATGAATCTTAAAAAATGCTATCAAAATAATTAGAATATATATCAACTTTGCTGACTGTCTGCCCCAGTGAAATGTTATTATTCTCCTCCTAAAACTGAAATTTGAGAAGAAAGAAATATGAATGCATTATTAGTTATTGTCACTACCTTTGAACATAAAAAGTCCATGGACAAAACAAAACAATTATTGAGGTTTAAAATAATCCCAAACAATATAAATTTCCCAAATAATACCTTTTTTATTTAAAATATTGGTAGAATGACTTCTGTATAATTTTCTCCAGGATATGACATTGAATGAAAAAATTAGCATATTATTAAATATTCAAAATGTTCTGCAAAGCAGAACAAGCAGAACTAGCAGAAGAGCAGAGGAGGAGGAGAAGTTGAATTATTTTTTTAAAATTGTACTCTAAGTTCTGGGGTACATGTGCAGATCTTGCAGGATTGTTGCATAGGTACACACCTGCCATGGTGGGTTGCTGTCTCCATCCCCCCGTCACTTATATCAGGCTTGTCTCCCAACGTTATCCCTCCCCAACCTCCCGACCCCCTGATGTCCCTGCCCTAGGTCCCCACCCCCCAACAGACCCCAGTGTGTGACATTCCCCTCCCTGTGCCCATGTGTTCTCATTGTTCAACACCCACCTAAGAGTGAGAATATGTGGTATTTGGTTTTCTGTTCTTGTGTCAGTTTGCTGAGAATGATGGTTTCCAGATTCATACATGTCCCTACAAAGGACATAAACTCATTCTTTTTTATGGCTACATAGTATTCCATGGTGTATATGTGCCACATTTTCTATGTCCAGTTTGTCATTTCTGGGCATTTGGGTTGGTTCCAGGTCTTTGCTATTGTAAACAGTGCTGAAATGAACATATGAGTGCATGTGTCTTTATAATAAAATGATTTATAATCCTTTGGGTATATACCCAGTAATGGGATTGCTGGGTCAAATGGAATTTCTATTTCTAGATCCTTGAGGATTGCCACACTGTCTTCCACAATGGTTGAACTAATTTACAGTCCCACCAATAGTGTAAAAGGGTTCCTATTTCTCCACATCCTCTCTAGCATCTGTTGTCTCTTGATTTTTTAATGATCACCATTCTAACTGGCATGAGATGGTATCTCAATGTGGTTTTGATTGATTTGCATTTCTCTAATGACCAGTGATGATGAGTATTTTTCTATGTTTGTTGGCCTCATAAATGTCTTCTTTTGTAAAGTGTCTATTTATACCTTTTGCCATTTTGAATGGGTTTGTTTGTTTTTATTCTTGTAGATCTGCTTTAGTTCTTTGTAGATTCTGGATATTAGCCCTTTGTCAGATGGGTAGATTGCAAAAATTTTTTCCCATTCTGTTGGTTGCTGGTTCACTCTGTTGATTGTTTCTTTTGCAGTGCAGAAACTCTTAAGTTTAGTTAGATACCATTTGTCTATTTTGGCTTTTGTTGCTAATGCTTTTGGTGTTTAGTCATGAAGTTCTTGCCTATGCCTCTGTCCTCTGAATGGTTTTGCCTAGGTTTCTTCTAGGGTTTTTATGGTGATCGGTCTTACATTTAAATATTTAATCTATCTGGAGTTAATTTTAGTGTAAGGTGTAAGGAAGGGGTACAGATTCAGCTTTCTGCACATGGTTAGTCACTTTTCCCAACACCATTTATTAAACAGAGAATCCTTTCCCCATTGTTTGTTTTTGTCAGATTTGTCAAAGATCAGATAGTTGTAGATGTGTGGCAT